TGGGCAAGTACTCACGTTACGTTTTTCTTCTTTTTTGTCTGTTTGTCTCTCTGTCTATTTTATTTTTTTCGATTCCCTCTGCTATTTCCTCTCTCCATTTTATCTCATTTTGATATTTATCATTACCCTTTAAGTTAATTTTGGACTTCTTATATTGGATGAGCATCAACGTGAAAATTTTTGAGAATGATGGCAAAATGGTAATTCAAATGTGTAAATGAGACAGGAAGACAAAAAGAAACAGTAAAGTGGAGATGAGTGCTGTGAATGCAGTGGGATTCAGATGACAACTGTCGGTTTATGGTCTCCATGGTGTAAATTTATGATATTGGAAATAATGAAATTATAATTATTGTTGGAACATGTCGGCCTGGTGGGCTTGGTGTTTGATTCTTGCTTGGGATGGGAATGGTCCCGGGTTGAAAGCAAATGGCCTAAATTGTATATCAACTCGATTCCTTATGTGGAACAATATATTTCCGTAACAGGAATTAAAGCCAAAGTTTGCAAAAATACACAATACTACTTTGAATTTATGCAACGCTCTTTGTAAATAATTACTTCACTGTTCACTTTTGAAAGGGTGATATACTTCACGCTTTCACTAAATGCATGTTGCATTTCAACATTGAAAATGCTTTCCCCAAATTATGTTTAACAAGGAATATATGATATCCATTTATGGAAAATAAAAGAGAAACTCTGAACTTAATACTTTCGTATTAATCCTACAATAATTAAATGACTATTTAACACTAAAAGTAAAATTTAATTATTCGGAATATTAATTTATTTAATGATCAAACTTATTTTGAGCACACTCAAGCAGTAAGCTAAAGATCATATATGTGCGCGATGAACTATTTTTAATTTTATTTTTTTTTGACTCGTGTTAAGGGGGTATTTAGAAGAATTAATTAGAGAGAATAATTACGGCTTCTGTGTTTTGGATTTTTTCACGGTCTTTTCAGGAATTTCATTGTTTATTTCGTGTACTATATACAGCAACGAATTTATCCTTTAAATAATGAGATACGATCATCCAGCGCATCAAAAGAGGTCAGATTTGCACAAATAGAAAACAGAGACGCCAAAAATAGTATTTTCGATGTCAGGAAAGGTTCGCTGTAAGCAGCAGGGTAGTATCCTTTTACATTAGAAACGCGTTTATGCTGTGACGGGCCAAAGAAAAAGTTTGGAATGCAGTTTTTGCGGTGTTGATTACCACTCGATTGTTGACGCACCAGTTTGCTAGTAGTTTAGGTGCACAATTTAGGGCAATTTTTGTTCTCTCCTGAGCGTTTTTCTTAGAGACGGAATACCAAAGAACAAGACATCTGCATAAAGTAAGTACTTGATGCCCGTGACTGTCTGGTAAAGTAAACACTTGATGCCCGTGACTGTCTGTACCAATTGGCTATTGCACTTGATGCCCGTGACTGTCTGTACCAATTCGGCTATGTCATTGCATGCTCGTGACTGTCTGTACCAATTCGGCTATGTCATTGATGAGGACATTGAAAAGAGTGCAGGTTGTGACAGCTTCCTGTGGACCCTGTGAAAGGCCTGTTTGTAAAGGATTGGATTTTGATAGAGCATTTAAGCTGTTTGTAAAAGATTGGATTTTGATAGAGCATTTCCACGTTTGTAAATGATTGGATTTTGATAGAGCACTTCTATATCTCACTTTCCATGATCTTTGTCTAATGAATGCTTTTGTCCAGTTGAGCATGTTGTGCTTAATACCAATATTTGCCAATATTAGAATTAGCTTCTCTTTCCATACTAAGTCATGTGCAGTTTTGAAATCCGCGTTAACAGCCGTGAGAGCATTTCTTGCATCAAGGGCATCTTTGTTGTGTTGGGGGAAAGTGGCTTATTGTTGGTTAGTTGATCTTTGTGGCCTAAAACCTGCTTGATCACTCCTAAGAATCCTGCTTGTTCACTCCTAAGAATATTGTTGGTCTCAAGAAACCAGGTCAGCCTCCTGTAAACCAGTCTTTTCATAGATTAAGCCAGCAGGCTTGTGAGGGAGAAAGGTCTATAGGTGGGTCAGCCTCTTGTAAATCATTCTTTCCATTAGTTTAGTCAGCACGCTTGGGAGGGAGATAGGCCTATAGTTGTCAAAGTTGCTAGGGTCTTTGCCAATTTTACTACTGGTATTACTATGGCAACTTTCCATTCGTTAGGTACGAGACTGGTCTCCCAGATTTCGTTGAAAAGCATCAGCATGGTTTCCTTGGATTTGGTCCCATTCAAATTAGAAATGCCGGATGAATACCGTCTTCGCCAGGAGACTTTTTGCACTTTAGCTGTTTTATCGCCGCATTAAGTTTGCAAAGTCTGAATGTTCTTTAAGTACATTATTTGGTGTTGCCCTTACTACCTTAATTTCACCCAACTGTATTACTTGTGTCTTTAAATCTCTTGAAGATTTTTTGACGAAAAGGTTTTCTTTTGCTTGTGAGAATAGAACCTTACAAATTAGTTAGCTATTTCGGAGTCGATGGTAAGCAGTTTGTTTTTTAAACTTATTGGTTCTTCCTTGGGTCTTTCTCTGTTGTTTTGGAGGCCCAAAAAAAGTGCGTTGGCTATCACTTTGATAGTTGGTACTTGAGATACTGGCTACCGCTTTGTTGGTTGATGTTAGAGATGAACTTGTCGAAGGAAGTCCGTTTATCTTGTAAGATGGCTTGCCTTAGGACAGCTGATTGTCGTCTCCATGCTTGTACCGAAGTCCGTTTAGCTTGTAAGATGGCTTGCCTTAGGACAGCTTTGTTTAGCTTGTAAGATGGCTTGCCTTAGGACAGCTGACTGTATTGCTTGTAAGATGGCTTGCCTTAGGACAGCTGATTGTCGTTTGCTTGTAAGATGGCTTGCCTTAGGCCAGCTGATTGTCGTCTGCTTGTAAGATGGCTTGCCTTAGGACAGCTGATTGTCGTCTCCATGCTTGTACGTCTTCCGTTCTTTCCGTCTGATCAGCAGTGTTTGAATGGCGTCCCGATTTCTTTTCAGTTAAAGTAAGTCAGGAGTTATTCTGGTTCTATTGTAGTGCAAATATGTAGCCAGATCCTCATTGGTGTAAATAAGTTCCAGATGGTTGCTCCTTAGCATGTTTTTATTTCCTTTCCAGCTATGTTTGTGTCATTGTAGCTCCATCTGGTGGTATGGGCGTTGAAGTTTCCTTATACTACCGTTTTGTGTAAGATGTTCGGAAATTCAAAGTTGGGACAATTCTGGGGTGGATTATAAACTGAATATATCTTAAAGTGATTTTGACGTTTCCAAACATTTAATCTGATCATTTCACATATGTCTTGTGTCGAGCCCATACTCTTGATTAAATTGTAGCGTGAGGTGAGGCCTTTTTTTACTTCAGCTAGAATTCCACTTGCAACTTGCGGGTATTTAGGAAGAAAGAACAGGGTGTAACCTGCGAATTGGTAGTACTTCCGTTTGCCATTCAAAAATGTCTACATAATAGGTTTATAGCATTTTCTGTACTTGGATCTATTTGTAGAATGACTTCCCGCCAGAATTCCACTGGAGGATCTGTAGACGTTGTAATTCGCCCTGACGAGAGCAATTTCCCTTATAGCCTTTTTTCAACCTAATCATACTAAATCGAAGTCTAATCAAATGCCGAGAGATAGAATTTTTTTACCGTACGAAGATACGTTGTGCAGGGTGCGCCATGTAGAGGTAAGTCAATCACGCACCCCTGGACAAAATATTAATGTTGCCATTTTGATCACACCAATGATTTTCAATATATCAATGTTCGTATATAAAATTTGGTTTCGAACAATTAGTATTCTACTTTAGAACCGATCTGTGTGTTCGTTTATGAAATTAAAATAGAAGCTCAAAACTTATTTCTTACCGCATTTATCCCACACCAACTAACTCTCTTCTTAACCAATTAAGTAGATTCGATTTATACACGGATAGGTGTACATAAACTGCATGCATTTACTCTATGAAGTTTCAGATTAATAAGGTGGTTAAGTTAAAAGCTTTATAAATAATTTGAATTGAATTTTTATA